TCCTAGGCCCTTGCCTATCCTTCTCAGCCAAACTCACCAACTCCCTTCTGAAAGCTGGTCCAATTTTTCAACAGCAAGAGTCGTTCATAGTTTTCCTGGGGAGGCAGAATCTCCTAATCTGCTTCACATAAGTAATAGGGTTAAATTCTCCCTTTTCTGGGATTCGTTTGGGTCTTCTTGGAAGCGCTAGTGAGTTCTTTCAGGTTAGAGGCCAGTTTTTGCGGCCCCAGGAGCCCACCCTCTTCTAGGGGAGCGCTGTCTTCCGACACAGACTGTGGACAGCACAGCCCAGCTTGCCCCTTCCCAACACTGGCCCAGGTCTGCGGCACGCACCTGCACGCCAGGCCTCGCTCGCCTCTGATCTAAGCTACTCTAAGTGGGGAGAGGGGCACTCGTCCTGTCCCCTAGGGTCCCCAGAAGCCCACAGGCTCCTTTTTCAGCCGCGCCCCTACTTCAGTTACCTAAAATCCCAAAACAACAAGGTCAAGAACTTCCGAGAGAAAAATGGTGGCAGTGGGCGGGTCGGCACATGCGCGGAAGGAACTCTGAAAAGTACTTCCGCGGTAATATACGGATGACGCCATCGGCACCTAGACTCCATTTCCCAGAACGCCCTGCGGTCATCCCTCAGGCTCTAGGAAGAAGTTTTGTTTACTTCTCAGGTGCACGTGGCTGTGACTGAAGCCAGACCTAAATTAGCAAGCCGGCTCTCTATTCACGAGACAGTGACGCGATTTCGGCTTCTCTAGTAATGATCCCGGACTGACAACCTGAGACACTGTGGAACCAAAGGAAAATTAGGGCAAACATTCTAACATACTAAGATTAATAGTTGTAATTTTTTTTTTTTTAGTTTGATTACAAGTAATTTGTTTTTAGGAGCCACTGTACTGTACAAATACATTCTAAAGCTTAAAAAACATAAGGTAACGCTTATAGATCCCGTAACAAAGATGTCATCTCCCACTAAACTAATTTGAGCGTCTTCAGTGGATTATATTATTCAGTTTGTAATACTGTTATAGTGTGTACGGTGGAAGAAAATATAGGGTCATAAGGTAGGTGTACTTCATCCTTTTGCAAATGTACACATCAATTATCTCATAAATATTTCCATAGAATCACGTTCCATCAACCCATCCATTTATGAAATCTTTAGTGTATTTATTTTTTATTTTGTTCAGCTTTTTTTTCTTTGTACATGTAAAGCAGACCTGAATTTTGACTTTCTCTGATTTCTGCCCCCACACTAGGCAATGTATTTCTTGCAGGAGTTTCTCAGAGCTCCTACTCTAAAGGACAGTTCTGGTCCTTCAGAAACAAAAATTTCTGGTTGAGTCATCGGGTTATTATGGTCATCAGTGTGTTTTGGGGTCTGGGTTCAAAGGAGGACTGAATATTGGCTGAGGGTGGATAACAGTGTGAGAGACTTGACTGTTGCCCCAAACCTATCCCTCATCTTTTCTTTTTCTAATATATGACAATCCTTGTTCAAATGCCAGTATCTTCTCTGATCCAAAATTTACTACTCTGTAACTCTATTCTGCAGATCCAGGAAACTCCGCCTTGATTTTCCCAGGGGCCTCTTCCCTCAGATGTGGAATCCTTAGCCTTTCTTCCTCAGAGTTTTAAATCCCAGGTCTCTCAAATAGCTATTAATAGGATGCTTGGTGACCCTTTTTTAAATTATTATTTTTATAATGAAAGTGATAGGATTATAGGCATGAACCATTATGCCCAGCCTGTTATTTTTCTCCACCACAACACAAATTTTTGTCAAAAATTAATACATAATTGAAGTGGTACATGTGATATTTTGATGTTACATGTGATAATTTGATACCCTTGTTATAACATCAGGATAATTGGTGAATCCAATATCATAAATACTGATCTTTTATGTTAGAAATATTTGAATTATGTTCTTTTAGACATTTTTAAATGTATATTTGATTAATTTTAATTATAGCCACCCTAGCGATCTATCAAACACCAGGTCTCATTTCTTCTTTCTGAGTATTTGTACCCTGTATAAAACTACTCTCTTTGGTGCAAAGAGTGTGTCAAGATGGCAGCCCCTGTGGATATGAAGTTGAAAAGGTCCTTCAACAGAGGTCGAAGCCAAAGTTATTGACACTCAACAGAAAGTGAAGCTTGCAGACATATAGCAAGCTGTGGAACTGCTTCCTGTCCATAATCACTCAGTTCCACTAGTCTTGCTTGTGATTCTTTCAAGCAAGGAGCCAAAGAACCAGGACAACTGTCTGAAAGAAGCTAGGCCTGACCAAAGAATTGCCAGGGTCATCTCTTCTTCAGATTAACTTCATGGCTCAGACCTGCACTACAGCTTCCCCTCATCTGAGATCCACCCACATTTTCTTTCCCACCAAGTGGGGGTGGATACATGTTCCAATTCCCAGGGTCCATCAGACCCACAAGGCTTCTCTTTCAGGCTTTCATCAATCTTCAGGGCCATAGAATTCAATCGCAGCCCTGCAGAGCAGTGTCATAGGGTGCAGACTGTCACTATAGAAGATAGCAGGAGTGGATAGAGTGACATGTGGACAGAAGGAACCCAAACCAACTCTTTGCCATGGTCCTGTGCAGGGCAATTACTGGAGCCACTATATTGCCCCCAAGCCTTTGTGCTACATAATAACATAATTACATTACATAATAAAGATATCATTGTGCTTTAGTTACGGTTATCTAGGAAAACCATAGTTACTTCTGGCAGCACAGTGGGTGAAAAAGTCCAATTTTTTTTGGCCCTACACTCCACACTTTTTGGGGTTTCATGCTTCACAATCTGTGTATTTGATTCTTCCACAAATGTCCCTGTGTGAGGAGTGTTGAACACTTGCATTATACATGGCCTCTTAGTTTTGCTATTATGTCTCATTACTGACAGGATTCCCCCTTGGCAGAATTCTGCCAGAAAATGTTTGCATGTCCCTACAGTGCTGGTGCATTGGGAATCAAGTGAAAAAGTTTCTTGTGTTTCCCACATAGACAGTCCTGTCCCCTATACATGAGGACCAGATGCTTCAGTGCTGCGATCTATCTACATGACAGTAATGTGTGATACTGCTTCTTTATTATCTCCTGCTTGACCTGAGACATTTTGAGAATAATAGAGAAATTAATTGTGGGCACTTAGTCCATAATACTAGTAAGCAACTTTATATTTTTTAGTTAATATAAGTACTGCTCTTCTAGAATCCATGCCTGCTTTTTACAGATGCCTTATAATGCATAAAGTCATGTTTCTATTTTACTTTTTCTTTTTCTTTCTTTCTTT